GGGGTGCAGGAGGGGTGCGGCAGGGGGCTCAGGGCAGGGGGTTCGCCTGCAGGAGGCGTTCAGGGGGCGGGCTCCGGCCCGACCCGCAGCAGGGGCAGGGCAGGCTCCCTGCCCGCCCTGCCCCCGCGCTGGGAAGCTGCCGAAACGTGGGGGATGAGGGAGGCAGGAAGCCTGCCCTGTCCCCGGTGCGCATCGGGCCGGAGCCGCTCTAGGTAAACGCTGGGGGAGGGCAGGGGGGCCGCGAGGAGCTCGCGGGCCACAGAAAATAACCCTGTGGGCCGCGTGTTTGAGACCCCTGGTATAGGAGATGCTGCAGCACACTACTGTACCCCTTTCTGAAGTTTGATTTGTCTTGTGTACCCCCAAATTTTACCTCACTTAAAAACTACTTGTTTACAAAATCACACAAAAAATATAAAGCTGTCACAGCCACACTGTTACTGAAGAATTGCTGACTTTCTCATTTTTACCATATAATTATAAAATAAATCAATTGGAATATAAATATTTTACTTTTCAGTGTATAGAATATAGAGCAATATGAATAAGACATTGTCTATATGAAATTTTAGTTTGTACTAGGGATGTAGGAAGTTAACTGATAAGTTTGATGCTTATTGGTTTCTGTTAATGGTTAAACTCTGGTTGCTTGGGGCTGCTGGCCCCACCTGCCCAGGGTCCCTCTGGGCTGCCAGCCCTGCTGCTGCCCTGCATCCTGGTGCGCCCGGGGTCTCCCTGGGCTACGGGACCCCTGGCATGGGGCTAGCAGCTGGGACGCCTAGTTCCCTGGGTAAACTTAACCATGTAACTGATAGAATTTTAATCGGTTACACGGTTACTGTTTTTACACGTTACTTACATCCCTAGTTTGTACTGACTTTGCTAGTGTTTTTTATGAAGCCTGTTGTAAAACTAAGCTAATAGCTAGATGAGTTGAGGTACTCCCTAGAGGACCTCAATGTATCCCCATTGGGTACACTTACCCCTGGTTGAGAACCACTGTTCTAGTCTAATGCCTCATTCTGTTTCTGCCTTGAATTCCCTTTATGCCAAAGGCCTGACCACTAAACTGTTGTTGTTGTTTTTTGTTTTTTTGCAATAAAAGCATTTGTGTGTACTGTGCGGGACTGTAATACCTTCCCCTATATTCACAGTCAGGCACCCAAACTGCTGCACTAGGGCATTCTTTCCAGAATGGTGTTGCCTCTTTATTTTATGGGGCTCAAATTAAGGTCGTCTCTGTTTCCTTATGTTTTGCCCCATCTGTCTGTCTGTATCACCTGTTGTCTCTAGTCTTATCGTAGGTTGTAAATTCTTTGGGTCAGGGATTATCTTTTTAGTTCTATTTGTACAGCACTTGGCACAACAGGATACTGGGGGTTCCTAGGCACTATGGTAATACAAATGGAAATAGCTATATACTTCTACGACCAACATCTTTGGGCTGGTCTACACTAGAAAATTAGATTGTCCCAGCTACATCGCTGAGGGGTGTTAAAAATCCGCACCATGAACGATGTAGTTAAGCTGACCCAAGTTTCTGTGTAGATAGTGCTAGATGGTGTAGACCACCTCTTATAGAGCTGGATTACCCACACCAATGGGGGAACCTCTCCCATCGACGTAGGTAGTCTCTACACTGAAGCACTACAATGGTGCAGTTGCAGTGCCGTGGCTGTGCTGCTGTTGCATTTCAAGTGTAGATAAGGCGCCCTTACTTTCCATGTGCAGAGTTTCAGAGCATACTGGAGAGGCACACCTCTACATTTCATTTGGGGAGCGTCCACAGTAGCTTTTACAAATGTGTTAACTACCTTAAGTCAAGAGACAAAAAGTCTAGTGAAGACAGAACTTATGCGTTACTAGAGCAGTGGTTCTCAACTCTTGTTCCCATTAGCAACATGGGAAGAGCAAGGTGGTTATGACTCCATGACACATGTTCATAGCTCCCAGGCTGCAAGCCTTTGTTCTAGAATTTCATAGGCCTGATCTAGAGTAGGGGTATGTCTACACTACAGCAGCACAGCTGTAGCATAGACACTTACTAGAGTGACGGAAGGGGGTTTTCTGTCACTGTAGTAAATACACCCATTTGAGAGGCAATAGTAGGTTAAGTTGACCTAACAAGGTCGCACAGGGTGTGAAATTTTTCACAACCCTGAACAATTTAGCTAGGTCAACTTAGTTTTAGGTATAGACTAGGCCTAGGATTTTGAAGGGGTTATCTGGGTTGCTTCTGTTGGTCAGGCTAGTAAGTGTGAGTGAGAGGAGGAGGAAGAGAACTTCTTTTCCTAAATAAAGCATTGGCTATTTTGGTCATGAATGACACCAGTTGCTCATGGCTCCTTTTTGCTAGCCAGGAAGGGTGTGGGGCAAATTCACAGGTCTTGGATCTGGACACCCTGATGGAGTCTTGTATTACTTAATGAGTGAATGTACTGAACTCGGGAATACAGGTGAGTTGTTTGTTAGCAAGTATAGGCAGGGTGGATCCAGAGAAGCCTTCCCAAATATGTTTGATCTTTTCAGTGAGGTACGATGGTAATTCTTTGCAGAGCTTGGTGCTGGGTTCTGTTATGAAGTGGTTGCCACCCTGGATAGCTCCTTGGGGTGAGATTTGGCAGCTTGAGTGGAGACTGATAGGAAGGTTCTCTTTGCCTGAAATATTGCTTGTATAGGCTGGAAGAAAGTCTTTGTTCCAAACTTTCTCAGCCTTTGTTTTCTTCTATCAATGTGCAAGTTTCTGACGATCTCTCTTCATTTGGTGCAAGGTGTCAGGAAAACCAAGGAGATCTGTGTGGGTGATGAGAAGTGTAGGGCTGTTTGGGGACCAGTGTGTCAGTGGTTGAGGCTAGCGTATTACATGGGAGCTAACACCTTCCAAATCCTAATCTAGACCAAACCATAGAGTTTGTCTTGACTAGGATTTAAACAGTTCTAAAAATCCAGTGCGTACAAGGCAGTGTATTCTTTTAATGTGCTAGATGGTGGAGTTGAAACCTTGGGGTGAGCTACATTGAGATCAAGGTGTTAATCTGTGTAAGTACTAGGGAAAAGGTTGAAATTATATCAGGGCTAGTGAAGTATTCTTTGTAGTTCAATAGTCCTCACTGAGGTTTGTCTAAAGAGTTTGAAATTAAGCGTTAGCCTACAAAGAAGAGAAAATTGTGCTCTTTTTGGTTAGTTTGTATAAATAAAGGTTAGGAGTTGTATATTTTTTCTGGTTGTCTTTTTAATGTTAGACATATCAGGTCTTGTCTAGCCCATTTTTAGTAGAGGACTCTTGGTTACTAGAGAGCTAGTGACTTAAGAAGATGAAAATTAAATAACTGAGGGAGAAGAAATTTTAGGCAAGACTCACTGTGATGCTTTGTACCTTGCGGTAACACCAAGCACCCCCATGTTCATCCTTGTAAAATGATTGTGCGGTATCTAATGCAAAGTTTGTCATGTCGGGTGTCTTCGGAAGGCTCATGATGCACTGAGCATTGTTATAGTGATGTTACAGTAATTGTTGTGATAGTAATGTTATAGGTTATAATCTCATGTATATAGTTATGAGGATGAAAATGTGTCTTCATGGCTTAAAATAAGCCCGGGCAAAAACTCTCCAAGAGCAGAGAGACAGTTCACACCTCATCAGGGCATGTATGGGACAAACCCAGCCCAGCCACACAGGAACAAAGGACGCTGGTCTAGGCAGCAACAAAAGGATCTGTTGGACTCTTGAGTGAGTCACCCCCCCCCCCTTCCTTTGGTCAGTTTGGGACTGTGATGCGGTAATGCTCACCTGACTCTGAAGGGATGGGGGCAAAGCCAAGAGGGAAGAAAGGACATGATAAAAGGGAGAGACATTTGCCATGCTTTCTCTCTCTCCCACCTACATGTACAGACACCACACAAAACAACTGAAGCACTGATCAAAGAGGAGAGCCTGGCTGAAGGGCAACTAGCCAGGCTGTGTTGAGAAGCATCTAAGTTTGTAAGGGTACTGGAAGTGTTAAGATCAGCTTAGAATGCGTTTTGCTTTTATTTCATTTGACCAAATCTGACTTGTTATGCTTAGATTTTAAATGATTATAAGTCAGTCTTTCATAGTTAATAAATTTGTTTGTTTGTTCTACCTGAAGCAGTACATTTGGTTTGAAGTGTGTTAGAGACTCCCTTTGGGATAACAAGCCTGGTACATATCAATTTCTTTGTTAAATTGATGAACTCATATAAACTTGCAGCGTCCATGGGGCATAACTGGACACTGCAAGACGGAAGTTCCTAGGGTTGTGTCTGGGACCAGGGATATTGGCTAGTGTCATTCGGTTGCACAATTCAGGCAGCAGCTTGCATGCCAGAGGCTGTGCGTGAACAGCCTAGGAGTGGGGGTTCTCACAGCAGAGCAGGGTAAGACTGGCTCCCCGAGTCAAGGATTGGAGTGACCTAGCAGATCACTGGTCTGGATAACACCAGAGGGAAACGTCACTCGCTTTGGGGGGGGGAAGCATCTTTATTAACTCATTTTATTTAACATGTTTATTATGCTAGTGCCTAGGGGCCAACCTCATTGTGCTAGGCACTGTACAAACAGTCATAGATGGTTTCTGCCCCCAAAAGCTTACAATCTAAATAGATAGGACAGACATAAGATGCGGCAAGGGGTATAACACACAAGCAGAATGAACTATGTGATGGCAGCAAACGTCATGTTAGGCTTTGTCTACACTAGCACTTTCGTTGGCAAAATTTTGTTGGTCAGGGGTATGAAAAAAAACACACCCCTGGCTGACATAAGTTTCACCGACAAAAGGGTTGGGATGGACAGCGCTATGTTGGAGGGAGAGTGTCTCCTGCCGACATAGCTACTGCCACTCATTGGGGGTGGTTTAATTAGAGCTGCTACACCGCAGACCTTTGCCTCTGTAAGGTCCGTAGTGTAGCCATAGCCTCAGTTCTCCTTTTTAGTTCAACCTTTGAAAGATTCAGCAAAGCACCATCCTGCCCTGTACTCCCAAAATCACCCCAAACAAAACAAACCTTCATATGAAAGATGAGACCTTGCTTTGTTATGTCTTCTAGAACTCAAGTCTTACTTTCAGATGTTAGCTTTAATATTAACACCACAAACATGAACTAGTTTTATGATGCATCGATTTCAGTGACATATTTCTAGGAATAGTGTCACCTAGTGCAGTCAGCAGAGAAGGGAGCCCAAGAGATTTGTTTTAGGGTAAAATAATTTAAATGTGAATTAAAACAAATCAGCCACTCTCATTAATATGTTAGAAATATTAAGTCCTATGATTTTTTTTTAAATGTATATTGTACTTTACTGTGATCTCGTTGCAGAAGAGCGGCAGAAGAAGCTTCAGGAGTATTTAGCAATCAAAGGAAAGCTGAAATGTCCAAATACAAAGTGAGTTTGAACAAATTTCTAATTGAATCCTGTCTTGCTTGCTAATACTTAACTTCAGAATTCTCAGTTAATGATTAGCTGAGAATTTTTGTTTCCCTGTGCTTAGCTGCCCCTATAATGACAAGAGGAACATATTTTAGTATCCTGGTTCTCAAGTTGTGGTCCCCACAGAGTTGCTGTCACAAAACAGAATCATCTCTTCTTAGTTATAGCCTCTTCAGGTATTTTTTGTGTCTTTTTGTCCAATTAAAGGGATATAGTTGACTCAAATTACACTGGTCAGAATATGTTGACTATAGTTAGACCTAAGATTACTGTAACTGAAAAATTAATCACCCTGTGTATTTGACAAAAAAATCTTATACGTTGTCTGTCAGGCCCCAATCTTGGAGCAGGAGTTCTGAGGACAGACTCTTATGCTCAAGGAAATCCTATTGGAGGACAGAGGCCTTGGTCAGTTTCCCTTGTTTCTGTGGGGGTCTCTCACAGAAAAACATTTCATTTTTAAAAAATGAGGTTGCAAAGCCACAAATTGGCAGATGGATTTGTGTGGGTGGGAGCAGATGTGGAACCTGAAATTGTTCTTAATTAACTTTTTTTTTAATTGACTAGATTTCTAGTTGACTTTAAACTATATTCTGTGTAAGTGCTTTGTCTGTCTTTAATTGAAGTTTGTAAATTGCACAATGATTGCATTTTGTGGCTGATGCCAACATTAGAGAGGTAGTAAAAATATAGGGGAGCTGTCAAGGCTGCTTCCCCACTCTGAACTTTAGGGTACAAATGTGGGGGCCTGCATGAAACTTCTAAGCTTAACTACCAGCTTAGATCTGGTCTGCTGCCACCATTCCCAAAGTGCTAATTCCCTTCCCTGGGTAGCCTTGGGAGACTCTTCACCAATTCCCTGCTGAATACAGATCCAACCCCTTGGATCTTAGAACAAGGAGAAATTAACCATCCCCCCTCCCCCCCCTTTCTCCCACCAACTCCTGGTGGATCCAGATCCAACCCCCTTGGATCTCAAAACAAGGAAAAATCAATCAGGTATTAAGAAAAAGGCTTTTAATTAAAGAAAAGAAAGGTAAAAGCCTTCTGGGAGAGAGTAGCATACCAGCTACTCTCACAGACAACAGATTCCAAACACAGAGGATGTTCCCCTGGGCAAACCCTTAGTTACACACAAAAAATACCCAAAATACCCAATTTGACTATTCCTCTAATTGCACAAGACAGGTTACAAAGAAATAAACATAAACCTATTTATTTCCTTCACTAATACTCACTACTTAATAAGAGGCTGAATTCTGGAGCTTTCCCACTCTGGTCCAAAGTGAAACTCCTCAGACAAAGGGAACTTTCCTCCTTCCCTTTGAACCATCTTGTCCTCCCATTGGTTCCTCTGGTCAGGTGTCAGCTAGGCTAGGTGAACTTCTTAACCCTTTACAGGTAAAAGAGGCATTAACCCTTAACTATCTGTTTATGACAAAGTTTGTAAATTCCACAATGATTGCATTTTGTGGCTGATGCCAACATTAGAGAGGTAGTAAAAATATAGGGGAGCAGAATAGAGCAGGGGAATTTGCAGGTGATATGGGGAGATTTGGTGCTAATAAATTTGAAGTCATGCTCCCAAGGAGAGGAAGCAAATAGCTCAGATAGTGTGAGGTGATAGAGGAGAGGCATTAGAGACTTTCTGATCTTGACTCTTTAATTCTGACCTAATATTCAGCTGACAAGTACTAATACTATGGCAAAGGCGAGCCCTCTTTTTAAAAAACCAAAACAAAAACACTTCATATATGTTTGTGGGGTGATGGGGAATAAGGGCTGGGAGCCAGGGTTAGAAAACTGGCTCCCTGCCCTTCAAATAATGACCAAATTGAATCCATATGTTGCCTGTGGTAGTGCAGGGCCTCAAGAGGGCTACATGGCTTGGCGGTTTCTAAAGATCAGAAATACAGCTTAGTAGGGAGGGGAGAAAATCCATAATCTTTCAGTCACTTAGTCAGTGCACAGTTATGATCAGATATATATTCTCTATCTAGGCCCTTGTTTCTCACCATCCAAGTAGTATCTGAGCACCTTACTAAGCAAAACTTAATCTCTATAGAAATTCCTGTTGAGCTGCTAATCTTTATTAATATTGCACTGCAGTTTGTCATGCTGTCTGGAGTGGCTCCCGACTGGTGGTGTGTTCTATAATTAGATTTCACCAAGCCAGTAACAACTGTGAACTCCTGGATCACTATACGAGTCTTATTATGGAGTCACAAACAGTCCCCTTAGAGCAGGAGTGGGGAACCTTTTTTCTATTGGGAGCCACTGACCCACAGAAAAATCAGTCGTGGGCCACACACAGACCCGTTGGGGGGGGGGCCCTCAGGGCTTCCCCCTAGGCTCCAGGGTGGGGCCAGAAATTAGGGGTTCAGGGAGCGGGCTGGGGTAGGGGATTGGGGTGCAGGCTCTGGGAGGGGTTGGTGTCTGGGAGGGGGCTCAGGGCTGGGGCAGGAGGTTCAGGGTGGGGGTGCATTCTCTGGGAGTGGCTTGAGGTGCAGGAGGGGGTGAGGGGTGTGGGCTCCGCCTGGGCGCCGCTTACCTCAGGTGGCAGCGCAGTGGGCTCCCCTCCTTGCCCTAGCCCCGCGCCACTCCTGGAAGCGGCCATGATGTGGCCAGGCGGCTCTGTATGGTGTGGGCGGGGGTAGGCGCACATGGACTCAGAGCTTCCCTGATCACCCCTGTGCCTAGAAGGGACCGCAGGGACAGTTGCCCGACAGGCCTGGCATCTTAGCTTCCCCCCGCAGTGGGGCGAGCCAGCGCTCACAGTTCCAGCCCCGTGGGGGGGCACCGAGGCTCAGGGCTTCCAGCCAGCAGCACCGAGACTTGCTGCGGGCCAGATGAAATTAAGTAGGGGGCTGGAGGTTCCACACCCAGGCCTTACACTATGTCTACATTGGCAAGTTTTTGCCCCAAAAGTTATACCACTTTTATTAAAGTGCTTTAATTAAAAGCACTGTTACGTGTCCACACTAGCTCCTTGTGTCGCTGGAGCAGCTGTGGTAGCTATTCCACTATGCAACTGGCCGTAGGGTGCTTTGGGAAGGGTTTGCAATGCCTCATGGGGCAGGTACAGCCTCGCATGATGTAGGTTTCTCAATCCCATTGCCAGCTGCTTTTCAACTGAAGTGTGGTGGGGAGAGTGTGTGACAGCGAGTGGGGGGGGGGGCAGGGAGGAGACAGTGTGTGTTGGGGGACAGTGTCGGCATGCTGTCTCATAAATTCAAACAGCCACCGGAAGTAACCAGTCCTGAGACACGGGGAGGGGGAGACCCCAACCTTGGCCCCCACCTCCCTCCATGGCTCTGCACAGCACAGTCTCTCACTGTCACACACACATGCCTGCCTGCCTGCCTCTGTTCCTATTGTGGGAGATAGCAGGAACATTCCTCATTAATGATTTACTTGTCTCAGAGCAGCACAGCAGCCCAGGCTGTCAGAACATCAGAAAGGAACTTTGAAAGGGGAGGGACGCATGCCTGCAGGGCTGCTGAGTTCAAAACAATGAGTAGAGTGGTCACTGCAGGTATTGTGGGACACTTCCGGAGGCCAATTGCAGTGATAAAAGCAATCAAGGCGTTCATACTGGCACTACAGCATTAAAGCCTCGGCGCAAAAAGCCTTATGACTATTGTCAGGGTGGTTTTATTACAGAGCTGCAACTAAGGAGTTTTGACGCAAAAAGTGACTTGTCAGTGTGGATGCCACTGTTGTTTCAGCACAAAAAGCTGACTTTTAGCGCACAAACTTGCAAGTGTAGACCAGGCCTTAGACTCTCCAGTGTATCTTGCCACCCAGACAATATTGGACTTTGTGATAAAATGGTTATTTACACCAAAAATTACATCACATTTAGGTTGCTTCCAGTCCCAAGAGACTAGTCACTTACCCTAAATCAACTGGTACTCTATATCATACACCCAAGACAACGCTGGTAGTCAATTCTATAGTAAACTAAGTTTTATTAGCTAAGAAAAGGAAATAAGAGTTATTGAGAGGTTAAAGCAGGTAAAATATATGGACAGATAAGTCACAGTTTGTAATTCCAAATGGTGGCAGTGATGTAATAAATTGCCAGTTTCCCAAATGTCTTTTCGGGGTAATCAGATTGTTTCTGGGGATTTCTGTTTTGCATCTGGTACACTTCCCTGTAATAGTTCAAACAATCCAGAGATGAAGGATCTTTCCTTGAATCCATACTTATAGCTTCTTCTCACAGAAAACAAGCTGACAGTGTCAGTACCCACATGGGCTTTTCCTTTGATGACAGAGAGCGAGGAATGTATTTTAGGTCTTTGACCTCAGTCATCTCACACAATGACCACTTGCTTTGAAATTAGAACTTTTTTGTTAAAGTTCTTCTTTTGCATTTCACAAAGTGTCCTTGTTCTTTGATGGGTTATTTTGTTACAGGGATATACACAATGTAAATGTTTGCTACTACGTTAGAACAGGATACAGATAAGTGAAAACAATGCAAGTAACGTCCCATTAGTTCTCATGAAGTTTAAACACCAAATACACTCTCATACTGTGATGGGTTCCCCAGGGTGCAACCTGGAAATGGGGTACCGCTGAGCCCTCTGGATTACCAACCTGGGCTCCCTCTCACACTGTGATGCTGTCACAAACTGCAAACCTCTGCACTTAACACATCATCAAGCGGCTGGTGCTCAGTGGTCACCCTTTCAAAATCTTCAGCAAGACAGCTGTTCTTTAACAGAGAATATGTGCTGTGGTTTAAGCCGGTGGAGCTGAGGACCAAGTGGGGCCACAAAGGACACATCACAGAGCCGCGGCTAGGGAGTCATGATCACATGAAGTGTTATTTTGATGGGCAGCTGAAATCCCAGGACATGGTGATGCTGAATCTGTACAAGCGCGTCTTCCCTAAATGGACTTGACCTGCATGTGCCAGAGCCGGTACCGTGGGTGAGAAACGAACAGCAGCTCCCCGTGCAGGAGTGGAGATGGAATAACCCTCCAGGCTTAGCATGGCTGCTGTGGTTCGCACCTCCTGCACCCCACATGGGTGCTTGGCTGTTCCAATCCTCATGAGAAATAGGGAGAACTGCCCTGGACTTGTTAGTGCTGTGCCTTTCCTGGGGTTTGTGTCCAGCATTCACGCTGGCTGCTGCAGCATTAGATTTGGCTCACAACTGCCTATGCCCTGGCTACCAATATCAGATTAAAACAATAAAAAAAATATCAACAAAAAAAAAAAAAAAAAAAAAAAAATCATAGGCAGGGACACACCCAGCTGTGATACAGGAATGCTTTTGCTAACCACTCATGAACCAACAATAAAGAGGCTCCAGCCAATTCCCCACAGCTCCCCAGTCTAGGACCCCAGAACTGTACCGTCTTGCCCTGGTCAGAAGCCTGACCAGTGTACGTTTATAACCCAGTCCACCCAGTCCCTCAGTGTGAAGAGGACATGCACCAGCTCTTGTTCCTGAACAGATTTCCCAAGCACTTCGTGCCAAAACACACTGTTTTAAGTAAAATATAAAACAGATTTATTAACTACAGAAATATTGAAATCAAGCATTGTCTCACCCTGATGGTATAGTTCCTTCATACACAGGGGGTGGGATTCCTCTTTTCAGCCTTGGACCGCCTCCCCAGTTCAGTCTTTGTTCTACAGATGTGTTTCCAGGTGTTGAGTTGTGAGGGGAGTGAGGACAAGCGATGATGTCACTTCCCCCTTTTATAGCTTCTTCCAGCTTGCTGGAAAGATGCTTTGCTATGATGTGAGGCAAGCAGTCTCCATAGGTGCTATCTCTGAGAAGTCTCCATTGTATATGGTTCCTGGGACAGTCCTTGTGAGTATGTATTCCCTTTAATGGGCCATTAGCACACTTGGCTCCTCCATTGTTGTACCTGAAAGGCTGGATGTGGGTGTTTCCAACTTCACAAAAAGAACAGGAGTACTTGTGGCACCTTAGAGACTAACAAATAACAAATGCCACACGTACTCCTGTTCTTTTTGCGGATACAGACTAACACGGCTGCTACTCTGAAATCCAACTTCACAACAGTTTTCAGTAACACACACCTAGCAAAACTCCATAACTCCACGTACAATGATAGCACATACAGTTCCACAGGATATTAATGTTCAACAGATTAAGACTTTTAAAATGATACCTTACAAGGAATGCTTTGTACAAAACATATCATAATCATATCACCATGGTAAATATGGAGGTGTCAGGGTGTTGCTTTAGGGAACAGAGTGTCACACATACATTTAACAATCACTTTGATCTATACTATACTAATACACAAGTGAATTGACCTGGGGCTCTGGCATAAGCTGGCACCTGGTCTGCCAGTGTCACACAGTTAACTAACTGGTTTCTGCTATTAAAAAGCTTCTCAAAAACTACTAACACTAAAACTGCTTTTGAATTGTTGCCTAATGTTTAATCCTTCATTCAACATCCTGTTTGGTACATTGATATTTTGTTTGATTTCTATAGACCCTATTTAAAGGACCGGACCAATCAGCCAAATCCACAGTTACCACGACTTTCTAAATCAGGGCCTGTAAGTAGAAAAGACCTTTCTCTTATGATGATCTAGTTTTGTACTCTATGCTGGAATCAGCCCAGGCATGGTTAGGGGCTCTGTAGAAACACATAATAAGAGCCACACCATCAGGGGCTCATTCACCTGCACATCTACCAATGTGATATATGCCAGCAATGCCCCTCTGCCATGTACATTGGTCAAACCGGCCAGTCTCTATGCAAAAGAATAAATGGACACAAATCAGACATTAAGAATTGTAACATTCAAAAATCAGTAGGAGAGCCCTTCAGTCTCCCTGGACACTCAATAACAGACTTAAAAGTGGCAATTCTTCAACAAAAAAACTTCAAAAACAGATTTCAATGAGAAACTGCAGAACTGGAATTAATTTGCAAACTGGACACCATCAAATTAGGCCTGAATAAAGACTGGGAGTGGCTGGGTCACTACAAAAAGTAATTTTCCCTCTGTTGTTACTCACACCTTCTTGTCAACTGTTGGGAAGGGGTGACGTCCATCTTGATTGAATTGGCCTCGTTAGCACTGACACCCCCCTACCCCCCCCTTGGTAAGGCAACTCCCATCTTTTAATGTGCTGTAATATATATACTGTATATACTTACTGTATTTTTCACTCCATGCATCTGATGAAGTGGGTTTTAGCCCACGAAAGCTTATGCCCAAATAAATGTGTTAGTCTCTAAGGTGCCACAAGGACTCCCGGTTGTCTTTGCTGATACAGACTAACACGGCTACCACTCTGAAACCTGACACAATAAAATGGGTTCCTTGCCCTAAAGAGATTGGTGTCAATGGAGTGCTAGCTAGCTTGGCATAGGAGGCAATTAAATACAAATCTTTTCTTACTAAATATATTAAAAATGCTGAAGACCTCTAGTCACTAAGCATTAAATGCAGACTTTGAAACATGCCAATATGCTTGATGTTTCATCCACTACTAAAATAGAGTTATCTCTGGAGTGAAACACCAGCTGTCTACCAGGGCAGCAACGCTGCACAGAAGTTCAGAACTGAAAGTGTGTACTACATCCAAACCAAACTCAACCACCTTCAATTACTATTTTTAAATGTTTTTTGTTCTCCTTTGAGTGATTGTCAACATATATATTCCGCTGTTGGTATGTGCATGCCTAGTGCACTTGAGATGGAGACTTTTGGTCAGCAGTACCCATTGGAATGGCTCATGTATGTATTGGGATAATACTCGTACAATGCATAAATCTCCAAGCTTTAAGAACTACCCTGTTTGCAAGGCTCTTGTGCCTCTTAATGATGTTGCCACACTCAGTGCCTCATTTGCTTAGAAGATGGGCACATCACAGACTTCTCTAAGTGCACTCAAAAGTTGAGTCTCATCTCAGGATGCACCTTATGGAGAGGTCCATGCATGTGGCCTCTGATATTGAAAACTTCAGGACAGCTGTGTCCATTACTCTTTCATGTAGACAGCTACCACAGGGCCTCTGCGATTGAGAATGGGTGTGGAAAGAGGGCCCAAGTGATTGCAAACAAGAAGGTGGTAAGGTGATAGGGAATAGCCAGCATGGATTTGTAAAGAACAAATCATGTCAAACCAATCTGATAGCTTTCTTTGATAGGATAACGAGTCTTGTGGATAAGGGAGAAGCGGTGGATGTGGTATACCTAGACTTTAGTAAGGCATTTGATACGGTCTCGCATGATATTCTTATCGATAAACTAGGTAAATACAATTTAGATGGGGCTACTATAAGGTGGGTGCATAACTGGCTGGATAACCGTACTCAGAGAGTTATTAATGGTTTCCAATCCTGCTGGAAAGGCATAATAAGTGCGGTTCCGCAGGGGTCTGTTTTGGGACCGGCTCTGTTCAATATCTTCATTAACGACTTAGATATTGGCATAGAAAGTACGCTTATTAAGTTTGCAGATGATACCAAACTGGGAGGGATTGCAACTGCTTTGGAGGACAGGGTCATAATTCAAAATGATCTGGACAAATTGGAGAAATGGTCTGAGGTAAACAGGATGAAGTTTAACAAAGACAAATGCAAAGTGCTCCACTTAGGAAGGAACAATCAGTTTCACACATACAGAATGGGAAGAGACTGTCTAGGAAGGAGTACGGCAGAAAGGGATCTAGGGGTTATAGTGGACCACAAGCTAAATATGAGTCAACAGTGTGATGCTGTTGCAAAAAAAGCAAACGTGATTCTGGGATGTATTAACAGGTGTGTTGTGAGCAAGACACGAGAAGTCATTCTTCTGCTCTACTCTGCGCTGGTTAGGCCTCAACTGGAGTATTGTGTCCAGTACTGGGCACCGCATTTCAAGAAAGATGTGGAGAAATTGGAGAGGGTCCAGAGAAGAGCAACAAGAATGATTAAAGGTCTTGAGAACATAACCTATGAAGGAAGGCTGAAAGAATTGGGTTTGTTTAGTTTGGAAAAGAGAAGACGGAGAGGGGGACATGATAGCAGTTTTCAGGTATCTAAAAGGGTGTCATGAGGAGGAGGGAGAAAACTTGTTCACCTTAGCCTCTGAGGATAGAACAAGAAGCAATGGGCTTAAACTGCAGCAAGGGAGGTTTAGGTTGGACATTAGGAAAAAGTTCCTAACTGTCAGGGTGGTTAAACACTGGAATAAATTGCCTAGGGAGGCTGTGGAATCTCCATCTCTGGAGATATTTAAGAGTAGGTTAGATAAATGTCTATCAGGGATGGTCTAGACAGTATTTGGTCCTGCCATGAGGGCAGGGGACTGGACTCGATGACCTCTCGAGGTCCCTTCCAGTTCTAGTTTTTTCTTTTTCTTTTTTTGATTCTATCTCTCAAATGTATATGAAGTATGAATTCCTGGTCTAATTTAGAATCTGGTGGTGGATTCTGTTCATTTCTCTTATTTTTAAGACTGATGTTTATCTTCTCTCTCCTCAGGTTGTCCAGCCCCAGAAGGATGTTCTCTCAAAAGTGTCCAAATGCATACCGAAGGATCACGCACCTGCTGTCAAAAACACAAGAAGTGCACGTCGTGCTCTTCAGCATAGGTCCTCAAATGCCCCTGGGTCCCAGAGGCCAAAGAGTATACCTCCCAACCTTCTGGGAAAGAGGACAGGGCCACCTGCCAACCTTCTACCAAACAAAAGCCATTGTGTGCAACTGAACAGAATGGCATCATCATCTACCTGTCATCAGTTAAATCAAATACAAGAGACTGTGAAATCTGAAAATCCGGGGTCAGTCACAGATCAAAGGGCTGTAATGTTGACCCAGACTGGAAATGATCCCCAGTGTGGGGAGCACCACTCAGTAACTGAGAATTTGCAAGAAATGGTAGACTGTGATAAAGTAAATCTTCATAGTAAAACCGTTCTAGAATCTTCTGAGAACAGGACAGAGTCTGGACTGGACATCAAAGTACAATCTAGGACTGGTTTAAATAAGCCAGAGAGCAAAAGAGGTTTGGTTCACAGGCATTCCTTGGGCACAGCTCCAAGGAACAATGTGGGTCTGAAAGACAGAGTTACTGCCTGTCAGACCAGTAAGGAACTAATTTGGAATAAACTAGCAAAATCTCCACCTGGCTGTAAAGTCATGTGTCCTCAAAAACACAGCAGCAAAGCCCGGGGGTCAGTGCCTCCTTCCCAGATATTTACTGTTTCTAGTACTCGGCTATCCAAGAAATCAGGTGCAGAAAAACAGTGTCTACATCCCAGTGTTATGAGGCAAAACACAGTGAAATTACAGGCAGTTGGAATGCTTGGTCTTGCAAGACAGCCCACACAAAAGCAATATGTGAAGCACTCAAGAACATGTAAAACTCCTGGCGCTCTGGAAGTTGGAAGGTCCAAACAACAGGTTAGAGCTGGACAAGATCTGAAACTGACAAGGTCTCCCATAAATTCTCATGTCTCCAAGAGGCCCTCTGTGATGGAACTGAAAGCAAAATCAAAACCCATGTCAGAGAGACCCAATTCAAAAACAAGTGGCACAGCCAACTGGCAAATGAATGCAACAAAAGGGAAGCAGGGCATTAAAGACTTGAAGAAAGCTTCTCAGACTTGTGATACAAAATCCAAAAGCACTCTCCCCAGAAACTGTACTGCAAGCACATGCATGTCCAGAGACCAAGCCAGTGTTGGCATGCTTAGGAATATGAGAGAAACACCCAAGCGAGAGCTGTTAAGAGTAAAAGAGATTCTGGGTAATCAGGATCCCAAGACCTCAGCTGCTGAGAATCGCAAGTAAGTAACTTCCTTTCTGGTTCTCTCCTCTTTTCCCTCCTGCCTGTAACCCTGAACATGGCAGCTAACCTGTTTCCTCACCCGTTCCCCAAGACAAGTTGTCTTCATGGAGAGACAGGAGGTAATGCCTCTTCAGAGTCAACCCACAGGAGATGAGCTCCTGCCTCATGGTGGCAAGGGCTCTGCTTTACCTTTCTGCTGCCTTCCTCTCCATGAGGGGGTCAAATGCCCTGGCTGGGCTTCTACCTCCTCCCTTACCCCACTGGTGCAGTAGCTGTGTCTAATTCAGCTACTGATACCTCTTGAAGGAAGTATCCCTTCAAGGGAAAGCTTGCTTATTGCTAAATTAAATACAGCCATCCTGAGGCAGAGTGAGATGCTCGAGGTTCACTTGTTCACCAGGATCCCAGTGTTCTTCCACCTCACAGATGGATGCTTCCCACCAGATTGCGTCCAAAATTTGGATATGTATTAAACTGCAGTATTCTGTCAGTACCCTTCTAAACAACACTGTGAATAAGAGATAAGGGCTCAGTATTTCCCATCCAACAAGCAATATCTAAAACATATGCAGGAAATGCAGCTCTTTGAATTGTATTCAGTGCATTGTTTGATGTCATCTGCTGAAAGCAGGCTAGGGTAAATCCTATTGTCTGGGATATGGACAGATCCAGTCTGGGGAAGTGAAATGTTTATTACCTAGTGCCAAGTAGACATGCTGCTAAGCTGCACCAAGATATCTGTAACATTTCAATAGGTGTTCTATTCCTTCAAAAATAGTTTACCAGATCTATTCAGGATTATGTCAACCTGAAAGGAGATGGAATATCTTCTTAAATTGACCTGGAAGTTCTGTTAGTAATAGTTTGTCCTTTTTAGTAGTTTTGGGCTACTGAGGTGTTCTACATTCTGACTGGTATTAATGTCCAGAGACTGAAAAAACACATGGATGAGAAATAGATGAGATTTCTAAGTCATGAGTCTGCCTCACCATCCAGGTTACAATCAAGCTCTGGCCTGTTTCTGACCAGAACATTTGAAAGGTAAAAGACCTTATTTTTTCCCTCTGTCCTGCAGACTACATAAACAGGCTGCTTCAAAAAGCAATCATTTTGGGTGGTGGGCCCTTTCTTTTACTAAAATCACTGCTCCTTGCCTCCAGAAAAACCCCACAACTTTGCTGCATATTGAATTACTCTCTCTCATGCTCATTTCAAGCTGCTGTCTGGGCTCATTGGAAAGCACAGAATCTAAATCTTCTAATGTATTTGAAAGTACCTGAAAGATCTTATGAATTAACACATTTTGGTCCTGAATATAATAATTTTAAACTGGATGGGTTTGCTTAGAGTTGCGCCATTAGTAGGGCCTAAATCTGCCAGGTCATCATATCTTCTAGTCTGAGCTTCAAAAATGTACCTGGTCAAGAATGGAGACTGGGTCCTCTTGAAATTCAAGGAGAAGGGGAAGGGAGGCACTCTGGGCTCCTTTCTCCTCCCATCAGAGTGTTGTCTCTGGAACTCACTGGGTAGCTTCTTTCATATCAATCTGGCAAGTAGGTCTCTGCTAAACTTGGAGCTCTTCCTACCCTTTCTGCAATTCCCTTTCTCCTGTGCATATCTTACCCCTCCCCTCTACTTACCCCCAGCAAAAACAGTAAAGTGAAACTTGCTAGAATAGGATCATTTTCACTTTGCAGTGGGCCTGAGAGTGCAATGAGATTGTGCTAATGATGCACTTTTGATAGAAGGATTGTAAGTTCAGATGCAGCAAGACGGGTTCTCTGAAATTTCCCATAGCGTAGGACAAGTGTTGAAGCGTATGGCTTTGGTTTAATGCTGAATCAGCAGAAGGCTGTATTCAAAATGTAGTAACTTATTTATAAATCAGTCAAGCACTGTAGCTACGGTCTGACTGGAAACGCCAGTGACCTCACCATATCATTGAGTAGGAAAGAAGAGGTGCAACTGACTCTTTAATTTTAAAAAAGAGGGTTCTTTCCTAGCCTTCAATAGATCTTGGAATGTTTGTCATATCTATTAGCTCTTTATGAGCAACACAGTGGACTCGACATATGACTAAAACAAAAATCAGAGCTGTAGCCCAGGGGATAGATTAGAACTGGTAATCTGATGTTGATGGCCTAACGATCTCTTTGCCCTTTGATAGGAAGCAACTGGAGCAGTGGTTGGCATCCAAAGGGAAATTGTATAAACGTCCACCCATGACACTGCCTGCTAAAAAGCCAACCAAGGAGATGATGAACCTGTCCTTCTGGAATGGCATGGAGAAGGAGGAGAAGAGAAAGCAGCTCTGCGTGACGGACAAGATCAATGGCATGTTGGCAGAGTGTCTGGAACTTGCTGAGAAGGTGAGGACCAAGCAGGAGTGGCTTTAACAACCTGCTCCTCTTAATGTGTTTTGGGAGACTGTTAGGCAGAGGTAGCTTGAGGCAACCCTAACTTGTAATACAGGGGCATGGTTTGTGAAGACTGCCTGCCCCAGCATGCAGCATTCTTTGTGCTCAGTGGCCTTACTGCTTGGATCTGGCCTGCCAGATGCTGCCACTGGATAACGGAATGGATCACTTGATAGTTGACCTGTTCTATTCATTCCCTGTGAAGCATCTGGCATTGACCACTGTCAAAAGACAGGATACTGGGCTAGACGGACCATCAGTCTGGGCGTTCTTATAGTTCTTATCAAGCATCCCCATTCTGCAGTGCCACTGTAGTCAAGCTGAGGACCATTGCAATTTGCTCTTTGACACCTAAATTAGGTGTAGCCATCTGGGTTGGAGCAAACTGCCAGTACAGATCTAAGGCAAAATTGCAGTATCCATGATCTTGGAGGCAGTATTAGTGTCCATACTGAGCCAGTTTCTTTCCTACCAATGAAATATTAATGTTATACTTAAGATTGGATGAAAATCTGTTGCTCAGATTCCATAGCCCACTGCAGTGAGAGATATAATTGGGATACTGTGGAGATTTAAGTTATGCAGCAGAGCAGCTGGAAATGCCAAATGACTTTACATGATCTGTATAGGTATTTATATAGTCCCCATTACCACAGTATCAGCCCAAAAACTAAATGTATCATCGCAACACCCCTAGGATACATCTGTGACACTTTGGGGTTCAACCCAGACTGCCTGCCCCGCAACCCTAGGTGCCTTAAATGTTATGCTGCTGTGGCTCACAGCTCTGACACCAACAGCCCACACACAATCGTGCAGGTCACATCCTGCCTTCCACCATCTAGTGATCAACATTCTCCCAGTCCCGAATTTCCCCAAAGCTGTCTCCCTGCCGTGTCCAGCCCTCTCCTGGAGCACTTGCAGAGGTTAAGTTTGTTGCTCCTTTTAAAGAGACAATACACTACAACTCATTAATTTAACTGGGATTTGACAGACATTTAAATCACAGTAAAGTAAAACAAGTTTATTTAACAAAAGGACATAGGATTAAGTGATAGCAGGTATAAGGAATAAAGATAGAAAGGATTACAAACAAACATAAAAATATGCTTTCTAATGATGTAAGACCTAATTTAACAAGCTACAGTCTTTGGTGAGGACTACCTTGAACGATCTTTCTTTTCCAGCAATGGTTGACTAGCTCTTATTCAGAATCCCCACAGAGTCCAAGGTGCTTGTTTTCCTTGCCTCCTCAGGTGAAGGATAACTTGGGGATTCTCTGCCCTTTTCTCTATAGTCCAGTAAACCTTTGAAAAGTCTCTCTCTCAAACTTCAAGAGGCAGGAAGGTTTTCTGGGGGCGCAGTCTCCATCCCCCCGTGAGATTAAGTGATCACTTTTTCCTCCACTTAGGGTAGGTCTACACTTACCCGGTAGTTCGGCGGCAAGCAAATTGAACTTCTGGGTTCGACTTATCGCGTCTTGTCTGGACGCGATAAGTCGAACCCAGAAGTGCTCGCCGTCGACTGCGGTACTCCAGCTCGACAAGAGGAGTACGCGAAGTCGACGGGGGAGCCTGCCTGCCGCGTCTGGACGGAGGTAAGTTCGAACTAAGGTACTTCGAACTTCAGCTACGTTATTCACGTAGCTGAAGTTGCGTACCTTAGTTCGAATTGGGGGGGGTTAGTGTAGACCTGCCCTTGCTCTGCCGATGGCTTTGATTGCCTGGCATGCAAATATGCTTTTCTTTCTTTTGTCACACCTTGCTTAATTTACATAGCAGACACATTCAAGCAGGCGGAACTGCATTCCTTTGTCTGGAAAATACCTGTTTATCAACTCCCCCATACCTGTCTGGTTTAAATACATTTTAATCATAATTCCAGCACATCCGTATAATCTTTTGTGGGTTGATCATGCATACAGCATTCAAGACTATTAATGATTAGTAATTTGTTAGTTTTTTAATGACATATTACATGACACTTTTGGGGTATATATCCTGACAACAGTGTATTAGGTGTAGTGAGTATGTCAGGCCTAATGAGTTGTTGACACACAGCTGTGAACCACCAATAGGCCTCTGTCACAACATTATCCACATTTTGCTGATGAGAAACTGAGGCACAGAGAAAGTGAATGATTTGCCCAAAGTCACCACAGTAAATATATGTCAGAACTGGGTATTTAACTGAGTTCCAGTCAGGTGCCTCAAATATAAGACCATCCTTCCTCTCCTTGAGGGATGTTAACCGTTAACCTTGTCAGTGGTTTTCCTCCATTCTAACCTGCACCTCTCTTCCTGATATGGCTGTTTTTGCAGGGTTTTCCTTCAGAGGAGCTCTTCTCCACACTGTCCAGTATCCCAGAGGCAGAGAAGTTTGCCAAGTTCTGGATCTGCAAGGCAAAGCTGCTGGCTCGTAATGGCACCATTGACATGACTGGGTTGTATGAAGCAGCGGTTTGTGCTGGTGCTGCGGTGAGTGATTGCTCCACAAACTTCTCATCGGAACTTCCTCTGAATTCGCAAATGTCCCAGCTAGTTCTGGTGGCCTCGACATCAGCAAACCTCATTCAGATATTTCCTGTCCCAGGAGGCTGGGGAAAACAGCGATGGGGACCCATCCTCTCCAATAAGCTAAACAAATTTTCTGGAGCTCAATAGCCAGATTTGGCTAGAGGGTGTGTGTTTGTGGCTAAACATATTAGTTGAATGTCTCTTTAAAGCTGCTTATATGGGGGTGAATAGACATACTGAAATGGCTACACTCTAGCCCTAATTTTAGGTGAGGATGGTTGGTGAACTGTATAATCGTGTTCCTTTCTCCAAACACACAGGAGTTACTGAGACACCTGCTCCCCATCACAGTGTAGGAAGGAGGGCAATGTTAAGTTTTCCTTTCAACCAAAGTTTGGAAGTTGCCGTGGCTTGATGAAGGCTGCATAGTTTGGTGGGAGAGGCTGTGGGAGGAGTTATGGGCAGACTCTGCACAGCTGTCAATTTGCAGCCATAGTATGTAGGTCTCTTATGCACTTGTACTATTTCTTGTCATATTCCATCTACTCAAGCCCAGCCCGTTTCCACCTGGTGTCCCTGCAGACCCTGGCTTGTAGTCCTCTCAGGAGCATGGGATGGTGGCAGTTAATCTTTATTTTAGAAAGTCTGACATTGAGGTGTGTGACAGGCTTCCCCAGAAGACAGGAACATACTATGGACACCAGAACTGTAAGGACACAGACCAAGTGTGGAGGGGGTGGAATGTTTCTCTTCTTGCTGACAGCATCTAGCAATCCTTTGCTTGCTTGTTCAAGAACAGACTTCAGTCTGCTTACAAATATTTCCCCTCCTCTTTATCATTGATTCACCCTGGTTTGGCTGCCTGGTGTGGGGAGATGAGTTGTGATTTAATGGAATAGTGAGTTCCGAACACACTACACTTTTTGGGACCCAAAGCCTTGGTTCAGGTGCTCACATTTTCCTGAGTCAAGTGTGCTCTGACCTTAAAGTTCTCAATTGTTTTTCCTGCAGCCAATCCAGGAGCTGAGAGAAGTTGTTGTTGAGTTTTTGAAAAATACAGACAACGTATACCAAGGTAACACGTACTAAATGGAACTTAAGCCTTGACAAGGCTGAGCAAATGGTTAGCTGGGTGAAACTGGAAGAACGCATGAATGGGAAAAGGTCCTCTGAAGAGGGATGATGTTTCCTGAGGAGTGGAGGATAAGGGTCACAGCTTTCTGACCTGGGTGCCTAAATTTGGGCACCAAAGTGCTCTGACTTTCATAGGCACTGAGCAACCCCCCTACCTCCTGAAAGCCAGGCTAGCTTGTTAAGTCTTGAAAATGTAAGTCACATAGGCGCGGACTCCGTGGGTGCTCTATTGCCAGGGATCAGTAATTCCTAGGCAGCCCCACCCCCACCATCCAGTTAGTAGACAGCTGCTATGAGCTGTTCAACTTTTGTAGCTCCTGGGCTTGCTGCAGCAGAGGCTGACCCAACCCTGTTTCAGCCCTCGGTGGGGGGGGCCTCCTCCAGCAGCCTCAGGGAGCTGCTCCAGCCAGGGTTGGGGTGGGCGAGGGGAGAGTGCAGGGCTCCCTCTGCTCAGCAGAAGCCCAGCCTGATCAGCAGCGGTGAGACCCTGCTCACCTGGGTCGCCCTGCCGCCTACCTAGATCTCCTGGGTAAGCTCCAGCTCCCAGCCAGCTCCAACTGCAGGCAGCACTATGTGAGTCCTGTTTCAGGCAGAGGGAGCCTGGCTGGAGTGGGGGTGCTGCAGTGTCAGGTGAGGGGGAGGGGAGTCCACCATGGGCGCAGTTTGGGAGTTGGGGAGCCTGCAGAGTCACTGCCACTGCCTTCCCCCATTTCTGCCAGTGCCGAGCTGCTCTGCTCTTCCTAGGTGGGGAAGTGTCTGTCCTCGGGGGTGCCATTTAGGGGGGGGAACTGTCCTGGCCCCCCCAGGATAGTAAAAATCAAATTTGTCTCTCTCATCCTCCCTTGCACCCATGCATTCTTTATCCAAAATACTCATTTGGCACTGAAGTTAAATAGGTGTTAAAATCAGACAAAACAGTTTTTCAAAATGTGATTTTAAAATCCCTTCCCCTCTCCTTTGCTCAATTTTCTGTCTTTTGACTCTTGTGAATATCATTTCACTAGTTCTCCTGGTATCATAGGCTTTGTCTGGACTAGCATTTGTCCTTCTTTTGTAATTGATTAGCATTTACAGTCAGATTGCCAATTGCTTGTTAAGTATCAGGACATGCCTCAGGCAAACCACAAAACTTTGTGCCCCAAAACAAACATTTGTGGGGAACCTCAGTTTTCAACACAATTAGCATTTGGGATCAATTAGCTCAAATTATAACAGGACCACCAACTCTAGTCTAGACAAAGCCAAAGCATGAGTCCCCTAGGCTAGGCAGGGCCTGGATCTTTAACATAAAAGGAGGCAACATAAAAGTATCTTCCCTCCCCAAAACAAACATGCAAACAACAAAAACCACCTAGCCCCCCAAATCTTCATGCCTTCTTTACACATCAGAAGAAAAACAAATGACGGCACAGTCTGTTATTGCCCCTTTACAGATCACCTTTAAAAATGAAATTAGCCTTTGCAATCCTAATTCCCCGAATTCAGGGTAACTGACTTTTTGTGGGGCTGAAAGACTGGATCTGGGTGTGAAAATTTCTCCCTTTTCACCGTTGCAAGTACATATAGAACAGAGTGCTGGGAGCACAACAGAATAGGTTAGGGTAAGAGAAAACTGATTCAGGGAAATTGGCCCTCAAAAAAAATCTTGTCTTTGAAAATTGCCACAGGGTTGGTTTAGTAGTCAAGATTTTTGAGGTTGTTTAAGTGAGATACAGTCCCACTGAAATAATCATGTAACATCCAAATTTTACACTTCTTATAACTTCTGATTTTTTTTACACATACTTGGGGCTCAAACTATGGCTCTGATCCTGATATTACTCTCTCGGGATCAATTGTGGATAATTTCCACCACCCATTTCCATTTTGGGGAAGCAATAATTAAAAAGCTATTCAGGGACTGGGGTAGAATTTATGATGCAAATTTAGGTCATTTGATCAAGAGGTTCCCAATATATGTCCTCCCTCTGCATTATGAGCTTCTTTTTCAAAATACTCTAAATTCCACATGCACAATGAGATTATCTAGGTATGCCACAACAGGGGCAATGGTGCAAGTTTGGAATAATTTGGGTCTGGCGTTCCCCACCTCCCCCCCCCCCCCCAATAAGAAAACTTATAATATTCCAGTTGCTCTAAAACTGACATGCATAGTGAGATTATCTTGAACAACTGAAACTGAGGTAGAGGGGAACTCACCACCCAAAGCTATTGCGTTAGACTATTCATCTCTTTGGAGCATCCTAATTCATCTGAGCACACCCCACTGAATGGGCCATTCCACACATACCACAGTACTCCTGTACTGCAGAGGGCTGTGCAGAGCCCCTTCCTTTACACTAGCTCCCTGAAGTAGGGAAGCTCCTGGAGGTCCCTGCTATTCTTTTTGCTGCTTCCAGCTGGTGGATGTGCTCCTCACAGCCCATCAGTTACCATCCTCCTTTCTTCCCATGGCCCTTCCAGCCCTACCGGGGGAATGGTGGGGCCAGGAGGAGGGCAGAGCTGGTAGCAGATCATTCCCCTCCCATAGGTGCCCTCCATGCCCCCTCACTAACACCTCTTCCTCAAGAAACAAGGGAAATTAACTGCCCAAAAACATGGTTAATGCAGGTCTTGTTTACACTACAGTGTCTTTGCCAGTATAGCTATGCCAGCTAGACTCGCCCCTGCTTAGTACCCTCTTCAACTCAAGAAATGTGTTTCAGATTCCTGCTGGCACTGCCAGTCTGACGTTCCTTCTCTGGCTTGTCAGATTGGGTTTATATCTGCTGGTGAACCACAGCGCCTCATTAGACTGCTTCCCAGGCTGGTGAACCAACTGTGGTTCATTAATTTTATATCGGTGTAGCTCCACTGATTTCATTGGGATTGCTCCTGATTTACATTGCTACAAGTGAGGAGAGAATCAGGCATAAGCACCAACTCCGTGGTGCTCCAGGGCTCAACACCCATGGAAAAAAATAGTGGGGGTGGTCAACATCTGCCAGCCACAGCTGTTCAGCTGGGCCACTGTTCGGCAGCTGCATGGGGCCTCAGGAGCGGGGGCAGGAAGAGTCGGAGTGTGGGTGGGACCTCAAGGGAGGGGGTGGAGTGGGGCTTTGGGGTGGAGTGGAGGTGGAGCACCGACCTGGAAAAATAAGTCAATGCCTATGGAAGGTCATGCTATAGGCAAGGGGATAGAAACTAACAATACAGTCTGTTGAATACAATGCTCCCTTAAGTCTGACCATGCAACATGTACTTGCATATGGGGCTGGAATAGGCCCTATGTGGAAGGGTAAAGGATGCAAGATCAGGCGTTACAGGGCAGGACAGCAAAGATTTCAGCTTTTCTCCACCTATGGGAAGCAGAAAGGTATGCCTGGGAATCCTGGACTTGTACATTTAGTTTCCTGTGATCGTTAAGAGATGAAGTGCAGGTTTCTCAGTGCACATGCAATGGGGGAGAGAAGCAGTGACGACCATTATCAAGAAGATAAGAAAAGATAATACCTCTTGTCCCACCCCACCCTCAAGCCTCTGCTGGTCTTCTAATCAAACAGCCAGCCCCAGCAGTATATCTGGTATCTAGGCACCCACTTTCTAATCTGTTCATCCTTCTGAGGGACATGAATGTGCTTAGTGCTCATAACTGAATGAGTCACTAACTGAAAATGCTCTGTAAAGGTGACTTGCCAAGGAAAAATAAATAGAGGTCTGTCTTTTTGCTGCTTTGAGATAAAGAAGGCCTCAGGTTTTTAAATATTTTTCATGCTTGTTTGTTATCTTAGTATTGGAACCACCAAACCTGTGTTTTCTGGAGGTCTCAGATGTGAGTTAAGAGCTTTCCAATCATGGGGCAGTGTTGCTAAATCTTAATAGAGAACTCTTTTCTCCCATTTGTTTTTAGGTTGTTTGGGTTAAATAGAGGTTACAGTTGGAATAAAATTCCATTTCCCCTCTCAGCTAATCAGCTGTCACTTCCTTGGTGTTTGCTGTAATACATCAATTTCTCCAAAGATCCATAGTGCTTTCCAGTGTAGAGAAGATACGTATTGTATAGATGTTATGGCCAGAAAGGGCCATTGTGATCCAGGCAAGAGATTATCACCCTTTGATTTCACTGTCAAGTCCAATAATTTGTGGTTGCATTACAAGATATCTCTGTAGGAAAAGATTTCCAATCTGGATTTAAAGACTCAAGTGCTGATGAATTTATCCCATCCCTTGGAAAGCAGTTCTGGGGGTTAATTTCCATCTCTGTTAAACGTGTGCTTTTTTTCCCAGGGTGAATTTTTCAAAAATCCGCTTCCTAGTATTTCTAAAAACAGAAAAACCTTCCTTAGCGGTGCCTCACTCCATCCCAGAGAAGGACCCACGGCCAGTTCTCTTCTTTTGCAAGTCACTGTTTGCTAGAACAGATTGAAAACTGGCTTCTTCCAAAGTGTTGCATTACCGTAACCCTGCTCGAGCTTGCAGCTTCCTTCCTTCCCTCTTTAAGCCAAGTTGCAGCCACAAAACTTGGAATTGACCTGCCCTTTTTCTTCCTCTCCAGGGGTCTCTGCACACCCTTCTGCTGAAGTCAGCTCTCATATAGTGGAGGATGCAGCTGAACAGACGGTGCTTCAGGGTCCCAGAACTCCTTGCCCTGGCATGAGAGAGCAGGTTGTGGCAACTCCACAGTCCAGTTTAAGGTTCTTGACTAGCAAGCCAGTCTCCTTGGTCAAGTTACAAGTTGTCCCCGTGCCCAGGTAAGAACCTGTAACCTGCAGTTCAAGCTGCTCTTATCCCTGCTGTTGTATATTGTTCCTCACTTCCAGTGATCAAACCTTTCTACCTGTTGCCATCAGCCAGCATGTCACTAGCCAAGAGATCTGCCATGCTTCTGCCATCAGTGTGTGGGGTCATGGGGCGGGTGTTTGGCTTCATGTCTTGCTCCTGAGCTTTGCAGAGTGTTGATCCTGCAGTGTCTTGATTATGGCTGCAACTACATCAGCCCTGAGGTCTGTCTTGCTTGTTTCTAGGTCAGCAAAATGTGGGGAAGACCTTAACAGGATGGTGGACAGGGGTGGGCAGAGTGGCCATCAGCACAATGAGCCCTGCAGAGCTGTGGTAGCCCTGACTAGTGATTTTTTTAAGGGGGAGACTGATCTGAAGGAAGCCTCAGTGAAGGGATCCATGTTGTAGCCTTTCAGATGGGCATGGGCCTTTCGTTGTGGGTAGGGGAAATCCTCCCCAAACCTCTCCTGCTTTATAGTGCTGTGTCTTTGTCCAGGGTCTACGTGTGGGAGACCAGACCAGGGCAATGGGACTCTTCAACCAGCCAAGCTTCTGCTAAGTGGCTCTTTCTCTTCTACTCTTTGCAGAATGAAGGGACTGTCTGATATGCAAGACTTGAAATTCTTAACCCCAGTGCGGCGTTCTCTGCGGATAGAGCATGCCATATCCCGTTACCCAGAGATGCTGAAGGAACATGACACCGTAGTGTCTTCCCTTGATGAAATAATGGCCATGGAGGATGTGAGCCAGATTGTGTTTCGTAAAAATGAGGCCTTGCTGGAAGAGGAGGAGCTGGAGCTTTAGGCTGGTGGTGTTCACAAGCTTCATGGCCTTCTGTTATGGTTTCCTCTGCCCGGGGTGAAAGTAACTTAAAGGACTTACCGGTACTCCAGAGTCCTGTGGAGGGGGACACCCCCCTGCACCCCAATCAACACTGACAGCATCCCCCCACCCCATTGACACTGACCCCGTGCCCCCCACCAGCTGACAGGATGCCCCAGGATAATCAGCGAGGGCACGCAGGGCTGCACTTATTTATACGCTACAATACAGGGCATTCACTGGCCACTTTCCCACCAAAGGACCCCACCCCCCGGAATCCTACTTGCATCTGGTCTGATTCTCGACCTGCTCCCTGCCCCATGGGGGACCAGCACTTCTGCCCCCATCCAGAGATCTAGCCCCATGGCTAGCCGGGCTCAGACAGGCCCCTGAGATGATGCTCCCCGGCTGGGCCTTTTGTCCCGAGCTGCACTACCCAAACCTCGGGAGTTTTCCAGATAAACCCAGCGCAACCTGAGTCCCTCAGTATGAGGCTTCCTCCCTTTCCAAGAAGGTCACCCAGCAGGCCAAGAGCTGCCCAGTCACTCAGGCCGTGGGGATGGAAGGTAACAATCGCCCCGGCCCAGCGTCTGGTTGGAAAGAAAACACTCTGGCTAAAAGTATCCCCTGCCTGGCAAGCAATGGAAGTTGCCTGACTAAAGGGGAGGCCTGTAAATATACTAGGGGAAGTGTGTAATTGCCTTTCTACAGTGTTACTACTCTTAATAAATGTACATACCCTGTGACACAGTATGACCTAGTGCATTGCATACTGGCCTGGGACACAAGGTAGCTGTTTTTGGCTCTACTCTTGGCCTGCTGGGTGACCTTGAACAAGTCACTTCACCTGTCTGTGCCTCAGATTCCCCATCCATAAAATGGGGGAGAATAATACCGCCCTTTGTAAAGTGCTGTGAGCTCAATGGATGGAAGAGCACTATGTAAGAGCGAGGTGGTGGTACTGTGATGAATCAACGAATGCTGAATACTTTGAGCCATTAAATAGCAGAATAGCAGGGTCCTGCTGAGCCAAGAAGGGACACCAGAGCAAAGCAAAGACCTTGCAAAGAGGCCCTGGGCTCTAATCCCACCACATGGGCAGGGCTTCTCAGCACAACTAATGTTGGCACCTCCAATAGCCTTGTGCCTCTTGAAACGGTGCAGGAAAACTCTCAGGATTGACTTAGAGCAGCTGGTTTGGCTGCAGGACCTCCCACTGCCACGGCAGTGCAGTATTTCAGTGACCAGTGAGGAACTTCTTCCAAACTTGTGGTGACTAAGTATTTCTAAAGCATCTTGTCTGCTCAATACCTAGAGGGGGTTGTGCATGGTCCCAGTCTCCACACTGAGTTGGGGGACACATATCAGACCCTCTCCCCCCAAAGACAGTACACAGTGGTCTTACTTTGTAGTATCTTTAATTTAAAAAAATGTATACAATAGCCTTAAAAATTCTCCCACCTTAGTCAAATTCCTCCATACTCAAAGAGCTGCCTGTGTGCTTTGAGCCATGAAAGTCAATGCAGGAGCAGCTCTGCACACAGTCTAGGGTGCTCAGACCCAAAGGAACCTCCCTTCCCTCCCCCTCCCCCACACACACTGTATTTTCCATCCCCTTCTACCTATGGATGTAGGGCCCTCTCAGCACTATTGCAGGGATAGATGGTGTATATACACTTGGATGCTGCTGTGATCTGGATGCCTGTTCACTCTGTGAGATAGTCTTTGCACCACTCTGGTAGCTGACTTGATTTAAATTTACAATCAGGAACTTTCTGCCCTGCTCTGGAAGGCTGCAGTGCTAGGGCACACCTGCATTTCCGCTGGATCCATCATTTAGCACCAAAGGGAAGAAGTATGGAGCTTGTGACTTTAAACTTCAGTCAGGTTTGAGCCTTATTGGGACAGTTTGGATTCTTTTATTCCCTGAACAGACCTAGGACAACCTTCATGCACAAGCCTTTAAAAACGGTACTCAGTTTGTGGGAGGGGGTTGGGCACTATCAAGCATCCCTGCTGATATAAATGCAGTAGGGCTGCAGAGTGTTTCCTGAAAGAGGAGCTGGGATCCCAGCTCAAAAGAAATCTAGCTATTCAATTTATACTGAATGAGAGTTCACATTGCCTGGGGGGATGGCGGGGGAGTGGAGGCAGAGGGCACAAACCAGCACTGCCTGCTCCAAGCCCTAGAATCCAGGTTCAGCCACAGGGGTTGTAGCCCACGAAAGCTTATGCTCTAATAAATTTGTTAGTCTCTAAGGTGCCACAAGTACTCCTGTTCTTTTTGCGGATACAGACTAACCCGGCTGCTACTCTGAAACCAATCCCCAGGCAATCAGCTTTCTTTTCCCATCCCATGTAAGAGCAGTGGAATCTGTCAGGGTCACTAGCTCCTGGCTTGTAAGGGGTGAGTATCTGACTCCAGGAACCCCACCACTGTAGTAGACTCACACAAAGCAACAACTGCTACATGAGTCAACCTAGCAAAGGAGAAATCAGAGTGGGGACTGGACAGAGAAACTAGCATCCCACAGACTTCTAGTGCACCAGCAATGGCCTCTTACCCTTCCCTGGCTGCTAAAGGCCTTTCTGCCTCAGAGGCAGTTGAGGGGATACCTGGCCATGAACTGTCTCCACTGAATCAATCCCTGGAGGAAAATGCAAACAACTGCTGGATTCCAAAGGGCCCCCTTAGGCACTGGTGGCTAAGGCTAGACTGGTAGGGATAGTTAGCATGCAGTGTTTCTTTTCAGAACACTCTCCCGTTTCACAGGATTTTGATGCCTCAGAAAAATGCTTTGTTCTGGGTTTGGCAGCTGCCATCCAGTCAGCAATCAATCAGCCTGTGGCCCGGCTCAGTCATCGTCGTCATCCTCAGCCTTGTCAGTGTCCTGAAAAATGCCTCTGAGGTTCTGGAATGAGAGATGGTTGGCACTACCTGAGAGCTGTGTCCATGTCACTGCTGCTCTAAAATCCATTCTCACGGAGTAGGAGTCTGATCCTGCCCTTGGACACAAGACCTGCCCAACTGCTAGTTCTGGTTTTCCAAACTCTAGAGCCACCACTTCCCTGCTGTGCCCTGTGTCTCCTTACTCAGCAGTAGGCAAGGGCCTCCAAACCTCTCAGCTGCGCTTTTCAAGGTGACACAGCAAGCCTGATGTACAGGCTGCTCTGCAGCAGGGAGGGAATGCTGGGCTGGAGGCTGTGCGCATTCCTGCTGCAGCCAGGCTGCTGCCTGAGACACACCCCACAGTAGAGTCCTGCACAGGACTATATTTTTAATGCCACTCCTCACTTAATTTAAGTATTAAAACTCTAGCCCACAACCACACTGGGTCCAGGGCAACCTGCTATATTTGCCCCTCAAATCTGGGGGGAGAGCTTCAAGTTTTCTGAGTTACTGAACTTTTAAAGGACAAAAGAGAGCAAATCTGAGCTGGGTTGCAACATCTTCCCCAAGCCATGAGCATGGGCCTGGGTAAGCTGACCCAGCAGCATCTGGCTAACCTGATTTGATTTGATTTGTGTGTATGATGCACCAAGTCAAAAAGGAGATCAGGGAGGCAGTACAAGCCCTGCACAGGTCACTAAGCCCTGCAGTGCTCAGCTCAAAGCTTTGCTGGAGAACTACAGTGACGGACACTAAAGAGCTCAAAGAGAATTGTAGCTTCCTGTCTAATCCAAAGGCAGCCAGTGGCCTGACTTGAGTACTACAGACAATTACTTGGCTGATTTCCTCCTGCTCCACCGCCCCATCGATCTCACTTTACTGGCTGTGAAGCAGTATTTCTGCAAAGGTGGAGGCACAAGCATTTCCCACAGGGTGTGGGAGTGGGTGTGGGCAGGGAGCATTTCTTCAGGTGCATCACAGCCTTTGCAGCCCCTGGCTCCCATCACATGACCTGGCCTGAACCCCCAAATCAGCTTGGCTTGTGAGGGCAGGTTGGAGTGACACTGCAACCCATTCTAATTAGGAACAGGCTGCCTTCAGTGCACCATCTCCTGGGTTTTAATTAGGAGGGATATTTGCATGAAAACAGGATATTTCCTGCTCTGGCTGCTTTTCCGCACCAGAAGAGGGATTAAGGCAGTTTGAGGCCCCTGTCATGCAGATGGCTCAAAGGAGCCCAGCACCCAGGACATCCCCAGCAGTCTGAGTGGGGTGGCTGCAAGCTGGCTGGTGCCATGGCTTTAAGGAAGCCCAGCTGCAGATGTAGCTAGGGCATGGGCCTGTCTTTGGTTGCTCTGCCAGCCTGCACCTGGGGTCAGTCATTGTGCTGGGAGGTTGGTGCTGCCTGTTAGGAGACACACACAGCACGCTCTCAGGGAGAGCACTTGGGCTCACTCCTTGTTGCTTTACCTGAATGGAAGGAACGAGGGCTGAAAGCTGGGAGTGTGTAAGGGTCTAACTTGGCTCAATGACTTGTTTGCTCACTGACAGCTGCCTTGGCCTCGCTGTGCTGCAGTACCCGTTGCCAGAGAACAGGCCCAGCAGGGCTACCTGGGCAGAACGGTTGCAGGCATCATTACCGGCCAAGTGCTGTGCAAAAGCCCAACTCAGTGAGGTCCAAGATCCAAATGCATCTGATCAGCTCAGAGAGCAGTTCCCGCTCTGGGGCTGTATTGAGTTCACTGCTGGCCCAGCCCATTTAGCGCCTGAGGCTGCTGCACTCTGAGTCTGGTACACAATCTGTGCCTTTCGGGAGCTGCTGCATTAGTTTTGCTAGACATGTTTACTCTTCACACCATGGCTGAGGTATGCTCTGTACTGCCCCGCAAGGGCTACCACAACCCTCAAAGGTCAGATGGAAGGGCGGAGAGAGCTGGTCTAGCCAGCACTGGTCAGGAAATCCACCCCCACCAGGGCTAGCAGCAGCGCTAGTGTAGACTGGCACAGGCTTTACCCATTCTGGGCAGGGGAAGAAGGCCCATGCCCACTCCAACTGCTACCACCATCCATGGAGCTGCAATGGTGGGAGGCCTTTGGAAAAAGCTAGAGCAGCCCCAGCTTCAGGGTGCTGATGACATGGCAGGGGCTGCTTGTTGGCTAGGACACGGTCAAGGAGTAGCCCGTGGGCTGGATGCAGGGCAGTGAGGGGCAGCAGGAGCCCAGTACAGAGGCTGATGCCCCCTAGTGGTGGGGAGAGGGAGGGGGAAGCTGGGAGAGTGAAGCAGATCAGCCCAGAGGGTGAGAGGAGAGAGAAGCCAGGTGCAATGAACGTAGAAGGTGGAAAGGTCGGAGGTGAAAGAGCACAAGGTCAACAGTGCAGCCACCCCCAGGCAGGGAGAAGAGAAGCCCCAGAGGCGCTCAGCAGTGTTACCGACACCCACCCACCTGGTGGCCGTGGAAGCTGAGCTGGTGCAGCCGATGCCCCGTTAACAAGCCTGACTCCCTGAGCTCCAGGTGCACGTGCTCTACAGTCGATTCATGCGGCATCTGTGGACGCAGGGAGGGCATTTGCACACAGAGTTTGGGCCCTGAACTTTGTTTCCCAGGAGTGAGCCTGAGCTTCT